GAGAGAGAGAGCACATGAGAGGGGGGGAGGGTCAGAGGGAGAAGCAGACTCCCTGCCGAGCAGGGAGCCCGATGCGGGACCCAATCCAGGGACTCCAGGATCATGACCTGAGCCAAAGGCAGTCGCTTAACCAACTGAGCCACCCAGGCGCCCTGGCAGAGCAGTTCTTAAATTCCTTTTAACTAATGGGTATCTGCACCAGAGGAACATTCATCTCTTCAATGGGAGCATAAATGAAAAATGTTCCATTTTAGACAGGAAGCTTGATGAAATGCTGCTGTTGGACACTATTATTTACATAATCAGAGTTGAACAAGAGGAAAAATTTTAGTTTTGGAATCAAAAGAAGGCAAGTGTTGAATCCAGGCCATGCCACTGAGTGGGCCCTGGTGCAAGTTACTTACTTTTCTGCACTCAGCTTTCTTTCTCACATGTGAAACGGGAAGAATCATATCCATGCTACAGACATCTTGCCGAGACTTCTACAAGAAAACACTCTGTACACTGAAAAACAAAAAATACATATTATTATGTAGTGACAGTTTTAAGCAAATCTCAGTCACTTTGGGAGAGCATCTATGAGATACAGGAAGACAGAGCGATCCTTGCTTTATTTTTCTGGAGAGAACTGATAAGATTCTTCAGAAAGGACCCTCGTGACCCAAGTTAGATGTCAACTCCCCAAGGCAGAGTTTCTTTCTCCTCTAAATTTCCAGAAACCTCTAGTCATGTCTCATAGCACTTGCATTATTGTTTATAAGATTACTCTCCTTCTTCATTTAACTGTGAGCTCCTCTAAGACAGATGCCTCATCTTATTCATCTTTGCATCCCTAATATTTATCATAGTTCCTGGTATATAGTTAGCACTCAATAGATTTTGAACAAATTACTTAATGTGTGGGTGAGCCTGCTGTCTCCACTTTACAACAGTAAGGTAAAGAAATGATTCAACTATAAAATGAAATAAGTTAAAAGTGACTAAGGTACAAAATCAAGACTGATCCTCAGTTTTCCTAATTTCTAGACTTCAGTCTCTAAGTCCCTAATTTGGGAATAAGAGCATCTTGGTCCTATTTGCATAAAAAATAAAAAGAAAGACATGGATCATTGGGTACTGAAATATTTACAAATGGCACATATTTGCAATCCTAAAATCACAATCCTAAAAATCCTTTAAAATAAGATGAATATAATTTTTGACCATAACATAAAATTTTAGGTAAGGACAAGATTGCAAAGTCTGATCACCACCATCATCTTCTTCAAAGAGAAAACCTCCAGCTTTGTTATCTGCAGAATTCAATAAAGGGATAAAAATTAATGTGAAAATGCAAACTTCATATTCAGTCCAGGACATGAACCAACAGTTGCAGGTATTTAGATCTTTTTAAATATCTAGGAAATTTTCTCTTCCAATTCATAAAGTTAGAAAGGTAAATAGGAAGTTAAATAAGTATGCATGCCAATAATATAGAAAAAGTATTATATACTGTATATTATATAACCAAGTGGAATTTATCCCAGGTATGCAAGGTATGCAAGCCTGTTTAACTTGCAGATGACATGATACTATATATAGAAAACCCTAAAGACTCCACCAAAAAACTACTAGGAACTGATAAACGAATTCAGTAAAATGACAAGTTACAAAATCAATATACAGAAATCCATGCATTTCTATACACTAATTAAGTAGCAGAAAGAGAAATTAAGAAAATAGTCCCATTTAGAATTGCACCAAAAATAATAAAAAACCTAGGAATAAATCTTAACCAAAGAGCTGAAAGACCAGTACTCTGTAAACTATAAAACGCTGATGAAAGAAATCGAAGATGACACAAACAAACGGAAAGATATTCCATGCTCATGGGTTGGGAGAACAAATATTATTAAAATGCCCACACTACCCAAAGCAGTCAATAGATTTAATGCAATCCCCATCAGAATACGAACAGCTTTTTTCACAGAACCAGAACAAATACTCCTAAAATTTGTATAGAACCACAAAAGACCCTGAATAACCAAAGCAATCTTGAAAAAGAAGAACAAAACTGGAGGTATCACAATCCCAGATTTCAAGATATACTACAAAGTTGTAGTAATCAAAACAGTATGTACTGGCATAAAAATAGACACAAAGGGGCACCTGGGTGGCTCAGTTGGTTAGGCGTCTCCTTTGGCTCAGGTCATGATCCCAGGGTCCTGGGATGGAGTCCCATATCAGGCTCCCTGCTCAGCAGGGAGTCTGCTTCTCCCTCTGACCCTCCTCCCTCTCGTGCTCTCTCTCTCACACTCTCTCTCTGATATAAATAAATGAAATCTTAAAAAAAAATAGACACAAAGATCAGTAGAATAGAATATAAAGCCCAGAAATAAACCCATGATTACGTGATCAATTAATTTTCGACAAAGGCATGAATATGCAATGGGAAAAATCTCTTCAACAATGGTGTTGGGAAAACTGGACAGCCACCTGCAAAAGAACGAAATGGGACTGCTTCTTTATACCATACACAAAAATAAACTGAAAATGAATTAAGGACCTTAATGTGAGACCTAAGTCTATAAAAACTCTAGAAGAGAACACAGGCAGTAATTTTTCTGACATCAGTCATTGAAATATTTTTCTAGATATATCTTCTGAGGCAAGGAAAACAAAAGCAAAAATAAACTATAGGGACTACATCAAAATAAAAAGCTTCTGCACAGCAAAAAAAAAAAATCATCAAAACTAAAAGACAACCTACTGAATGGGAAAAGATATTTGCAAATGACATATTTGATAAAGGGTTACTATCCAAAATATATAAAGAACTTATACAATTCAATGCCAAAAAACCCCCCACAAATAATCCAATTAAAAATAGGCAGAAGACATGAACATTTTTTCAGAGAAGACAGATGGCCAAAAGACACATGAGAAGATGCTCAATATAACTCATCATCAGAAAAATGCAAATAAAAACCACAATGAGATATCACCTCACACCTCACATCAGAATGGCTAAAATCAAAATTATAAGAAACAACAAGTGTTGGTGAAGATGTGGAGAAAAAGGAACCCCCATGCGCTGTTGGTGGGAATGCAAACTGATACAGCCACTGTGGAAAACAGTATGGAGGTTCTTCAAAAAATTAAAAATGGCATTACCATTTGATCCAGTAATTCCACTACTAGGTATTTACCCAAAGAATACAAAAACACTAATTCAAAGGGATACATGGACCCCTATGTTTATTGTAGCATTATTTACAATAGCCAAGATATGGAAGCAATCCAAGTGTCTGTCAGTAGATAAAGGGATAAAGAAGGTGTGGTATATATATACACAATGGAATATTACTCAGCCTTAAAAAAGAAGAAAATCTTGCCATTTGCAACAACATGGATGGACCTAGAGGGTATAATGCTAAGTGAAATAAGTCAGTCAAGGAAAGACAAATACCATATGATTTCACTCATATGTACAATTTACGAAACAAAACAAATGAATAAAAAAAAAGGGACAAACCAAGAAACAGACTCTTAACTATAGAAAACAAACAGATGGCTACCAGAGCAGAGGTAGATGCAGGGGGGTGGTGAAACAGGTGAAGAGGATTAAGAATACACTTGTGATGAGCACTGAGTAATATACAGAATTGTCGAATCACTATATGGTACACCTGAAACTAATATAACACTGTATGTTAATTATACTGGAAATAACATTGTAAAAAAATTAATGTAACCTATCATATTAACAGGCTATAAATGAAAGTCACATGATCACATCAATAAATGCAGAAAAGCATTTGAAAAAATCCAACACCTATCCATGATAAAAACTCTCAGTAAACTAAGAATAGAAGGAAACTTCCTCAAGTTGATAAAGAACAGCTACAAAATATCTACAACTAACATCATACTTAATAGTGAGAAATTAGAAGATTTCTCACTAAGATCAGGAGCAAGGCAAGGAACTCCCCTTACCATTCCCTTTCACTATTGTACTAGAAGTTCTAGCTAATAAGACAAGAAGAGAAAAAAGGGAAGGGAAAGGAAGGGTATACAGTTTGGGAAGGAAGAAATAAAACTGTCTTTGTTCACAGATGATCATCTATGTAAAAAATCTGTAAGAATAAACAACAACAAAATAACCTCCTGGAACTAACAAGCAATTATAGCAAGGTTGTAGGATACAAGGTTAACATACAAAAGTCAATCTGTCTCCTGCATAACAGCAATGAACAAGTGGAATTTGAAATTAAAAAATAAATACCATTTATAATCACACCCAAAAACACTTAAGTATATAAAGCTAACAAAATCTGAACAAGATCTCTACAGGGAAAACTATAAAACTCTGATGAATAAAATCAAAGAACTAAATAAATGGAGAGATATCCTATATTCATTGATAGGAAGACTCAATATTGTCAAGATGTCAGTTCTTCCCAACCTGATCTATAGATTCAATGCAATCCCAGTCAAAATCCCAGCAAATTATTTTGTGGATTATCAACAAACTGATTCTAAAGTTTGTACAGAGAGGTAAAAGGTAGAACAGCCATAAAAATATTAAAGAAGAACAAAGTTGGAGGACTGACATTACCCAACTTCAAGATTCACTATAAAGCTATAGGAATCAAGATAGCAAGGTACTGATCAAAGAATAGACAAATAGATCAGGGGACAGAAGAGGGCCCAGAAACAGGTCCCCCATAAATAGTCCACTGATCTTTGACAAAGGAGCAAATATAAAACAATGGGGCAAACATCATCTTTTCACCCAACTCTGTTGGAGCAACTGGACATTCACAAGCAAACAGATTGATTTACACACAGACCTCATACCCTTCACAAAAATTAATTCAAAGTGGATGACAGACCTAGCTAGAAGATGCAAAACTATAAAACCCCTAAAATATAACACAGGAGAAAACCTAGATGACTTGGGTATGGCAATAACTTTTCAGGTACAACACCAAAGGTGTAATCCATGAAAAAAAGTAATTGATAAAATGGACTTCATTAAAATTACAAACTTCTGCTCTGTGAAAGACAATGTCAAGAGAATGGGAAGATAAGCCACAGACTGGGAGAAAATATTTGCAAAAGACACATCTGATAAAAGACTGTTATTCAAGATATACAAAGAACTCTTACAACTCAACAATAACAAAACAACCTGATTTAAAGATGGGCCAAAGACCTTCACAGACACCTCCCCAAAGAAGATACACAGATGACAAATTAACATATGAAAAAATATTCCACATCATATGTCATCAAGGAAAAGCAAATTAAAACAACAAGATACCACCACACGCCTATTAGAATGACCAAAATCCTGAATACCGGCAACACCAAATGCTGGTAAGGACATGGAGAAACAGAAATTTTCCCTTATTGCTGCTGGGAATGCAAAATGGTACAGCCACTCTGAAAGGTAATTTGGCTGCTTCTTATAAAACAAGATATACTCTTACCATACCATTCATCAATTGTGCTTCTTGGCA